GTGCAACTTTCAGTCTGATCTTGGTTTCCCCGGCTCTCTAGCTGCTTCCAAACCCCAGACCCCTTCTTTCAACAGGTATCTCCATGAAAACGAGTCTCTACCTTCCTAAGAAAACTTTCCAGAGCTTTCTGCTACTGACTTCTCAGTCAGTGAGCTTCTCAGTCTCCGCAAAGTGGCTGAGAGACTTGCTCCCCTTCATATTTTCTGGGCCACTGCCCCCCATAATCTAAAGATAAGGAAGCGGGGTCTATATCCATTGGTCTTGCCTGGGCCACAGTCACAGAGCTTCCCTCTCACGTAGGAAACAAGACTTGGCATCACCACACAACTCTGTATTCTGGGAGCCCGGCGTTGTGGGGGCCTCCGGAGCTCATTCCCTCTATATCTAACATCGCTGCTGGCCCTTTCCTTCCCCAGCGCAGCCTGCTCAAGGAGTGGATAGCCAGTATCCCAAGCATGCTCCTGTTTTCAGAGCACATTCATAGTCCAAAAATGTCCCGACAAGTGACTAGCCATAAAACTACATTAAAGGACGTACAGCCTTCGGGGACCATGACTTAAAGGAACTCAGCAAACTGTACCTCAACAACCCCCAAACTATCCCACAAATACCCCTGGAGTCTCTCTTAATATTTCCCAGGCAAAGACGTCATATCTGTCACAACAATGCCTCGAACCAAAAGAGCAGGACCCCCAACTCAGAGTCCTCCCACTTGTAATTATACGTAAGGCTCTCCAGGCAGTTAGCTCTGAGAACAGTAGGTGAGGGGCTCCAAATGCCCCTTGGGAAGACTGATCCTGCCCTGGAGCACAGAGAGACGGGCATTTCCGTCACACTCTGGCCAGCCGTTGGCTGCAGCACAGGACAGCTTGGGCTTAGATCCTCGGGCCCTGGTCTGGAGCTGCATGTCCAGAGTGTCAGGGGAGTGGCACCCAGCCACTGCCTAGGGTGGGGCCAGACCTCAGTGACCCACCCAGGATACTTGCTCTCTCCAACCCAGGGCCATATTCTCCCACTAGGACCCCAGAGCCTAGGAAAGGAGACACGAGCACTAGTTTGAGTCTGTGAGCTGACACTGAGTTTGATTTCTTTCTTCTGGCTTATCTGCAAGTTGCCACAGGCCTGGAGAAGTGACTTGGGATTTCCAGGATGGAAGGGACTATGGCACTCAGCTCACAATGGTCCTGGTCTCTGATAGTCCTGGGTGAGTCTAGACCTCTCCCCAGGGCTCATACTTATACCCAGTGGACTCATAGGTATCCTTACTTGCTGGGGAAAAGGGATGTAGGGGTCCAAGCCCCCCTACCAACAGATACCCATCTGAGATGAATGAGTGAATACATGGTGTCTGGAGGAAAGGGCACATCTGGGTCCCGTGGAAGGCAACTTAGACCCTAAAGGGGAGACCTAGCTATAAGCCATGTGTGAGCACGTGACTTCCCCTCCCTGTGCTTCAGTTTCTCATTTGTGATAGGAGGGATGGGCTTAGAAGCCCAGAGAGGTGCCTTCTAGCACCAGTAGGCATGAAGCTCCTCCGAGTTAGGTGAGCAGTCCGCCGGTTGGCCAGCACCCCTGGGAAGCAGGGCTCAGGCCACCAGTCCTGCCAACATTGGCTGACCAGCCACTTCTGGGGCTGCCTTAGAGAAGGGGGGCCAAGTCATAGCCCAGAAGTCCTAGCACCAAGCCAGGCCCTAGAAAATTAGGGTGTACCTTTCTTGGACCTGTGCACTTAATTTCTGTAGCCTGGGAAAAGAAGCAGCAGGAGATTGAAAGCTGCCCTGTCCCCAAACCACTTAACATTGTTCCACAAAACAACCAGGTGTTGGACTTCAGGGTATCTAGAAACTGACTCATAGGCACACGCTTGTTTCCCAGGCCCTGAGGCAGAGGCCGGGTGCCCCAAGCACACCTCTAGGGAAAGCAGAGTCCACCAGAACTAGAGCCCAGCAGTTCTGACCAGCTGACCCAGAGACTTCCAGCTCAGAAAACCTCACTTCAGAAGCACCACCACATGGGGTCAGAGACTTCTAGAAGGCAAAGATGTCCCAACCAACACCACCTGTTATCCCACACCAAAATATCAAGCCAGACCAACAGCTCAGACCAACTATGAGCCATTTTGGCCTAAAATCTTGGAGACCACATTTAAGAGATGGGAATATCTAGGGCCACCTGGGTGGCCCAGTTGGTTAAGCTTCTGTCTTCGGCTTAGGTCATGATCTCACGGTTCATGAGTTCAAGCCCTTAATAGGGGTCTGTCCTGACAGTCCAGAGCTCTGAGACTTCTTCGAATTTTGTGTCTCCCTCTGCCCTGCCCCTGCTTTCTCTCTCTCTCTCTCTCTCTCAAAAATAAATATACAAAAAAAATTTTTTAATTAAAACTGGTGGGAATATCTTAAATAAAAATCCAGATTTCTAACTTCTCCAGAAATTTCAGTAGTTCTGGCAATGCTGTGTCCACATACCCACTTGGCCACCATCAGGTGGCCTGAGTAACAGCTGACCCTCAAGTGGGCCAATGCTCCCGCGTCCACCCCCAGCCCCACCTGTGCCCAGCCCAAATCTGAGAGCATCCCCTTAACATGCTCCTCCAATAACTATTTCTGACCGTAGAGAAATGTGTCTTTTTGCCACGTCTTTCTCAAAAGTATGAAAATGGCGTGTGGACCAAGAGGGTTATATTGCTCAAGAAAAGTGAGGCAGAGCTCATTTGTATTTGGTGAAGTGAAGACAGTGCCAACACACGTTCACCCCCCTCCCTGCCTGCCTGGCTCTGGACACATCTGAGCACGTCACCTGCCCCAACACAGGACTGCGGTCAGGGGCGATTTCTCATGGGTGTACCAGGCTGCCCAAGCAAGCGCCATCACAACACACACCCAGTTTGGTGACACACTGTGATTCCTGCCACCTCTGCAAGCTCTTACCCTCCCCAGGTTCTACCCCGTGGGCCCCCTTAGCAAGGGCAGCATCAGAGGAAAGTCTGTTTCTAATGAGGCAGGCACAGGACAGGCCCCAGGGGTCAGAGCCCAGCCAGTAAAGTTTACGGAAGGGCTAGAGGGGAGTGCATACCAGTGAGGGAAGAAGGGGAGGGGGTGACAGATTTACCTCTGGCAGCCCCTCTCACTAGCCCCTGCCTCTGTCCTGGGTCATCACTCAGAAGACACAAGCCTCTGTCTCCACCTCGCCACTGCCCTGGGCCTCTCAGCTGCAGACTCCCTCGTGCCCAGCAACCTGGCCCTCTCTCCCCTCCTCAAGCCACTGCAGGCCTCTTTGTGGGCCCCAGCTTGGCTAGCAGGAGCCCACCCATGGGCTGCCACACCAGAGACAACCAACTCATGAGGCTGGAGTGGAGCAAGCAAAGAACATTTAGAAGAGAGATGGCTACTCTCAGGAGCGGAGCTGGCCCCCACCAAAGCAGAGAGAATTTGCCCCTCTGTCCAGACCAGGCCCTTAAATGATACCCAAGTCCCATTGGCAATCTCCTTCCAGAATCCCCTTCCAACTGGGACTCCGCCTCCGTAGTGCCCCATCGGCCTACTGTGTCCTGTAAATATGTTCCAAGGCCACTCTGCCTGGGGCTCTACACGGCCCCTGGAACATCTGGGTCCTGGAGCTGAAGGAAGCATTAGAAAGGGTGTGAGGCCCAGAGCTGGGCAGAGGTGAGCCTCACCCACTCGTGCCAGCTGCCAGCTGTCTGAGGAAGGAGATTTGCCCTGGACCATTGAGAAGTGGCTCTTGGCCTTGCGGCCCCACCTCCTATGGTGGAAAATCCAACCCCAAGAGCATGGCCTTCAGGGCCTTCAAGATTTGGTCCCCGTAGGGCACCTCCACCTTATCTGTGGGCATTCTCCCATGGGCACCCAACATAGCAGCCATTCTCCAGACAAGCCTTGCTCTGTTCCCCTCTCCTGGCACTCTGCATGTGCTGTCCTCTGCCTGAAATGCCCTTCTCTCCCTTCTAGAGACTCTCCAGGGAAGCTCCTTCATGCTCTCATTCAGCTTCCGGAAACGACATTTGCAATGCAGATTGCCACTGTGCGAGAGTGTGTGTGTGTGTGTGTGTGTGTGTGTGTGTGTGTGTGACTTACCAACTGGAGGGGGACACCCTCAAGGGCAGGAGACCCCAGATTCTAATGCAGAACAAACAGGGGACACCCCAGGAAGGTCCTCTCCCACTGCCCATTTCCAGGAATAAGCCTACAGCCTACACTTGCACTTGTAGCCCCAGAACCCCTGTGACAGACACGCCCCATGAGTAGCAGTAACTCTCGCTGCCCCAGACCCATGGTGGGACCCAGCCCCACTCCCGGCCAGCACCACTGCCTGGCCTTATCACAGAAGCAGTAAGTTTGAGGCCAGGAACTGAGAGACAGTGGATGGGCACCTTCATCCAGTGGGGATGCCCCAGAAGTCCCCCAAATGCCCCTCTCTGGGCCTGACAAAACATGCCTGGTGGTTTGCATCCTTCAGACAACAACAGCTATTAAGAAGAGAGCAAATCCTGGAAAATCATAAATCCTAAGAGTTCAGACCTCTGCCATCAGGAGTCCCCAGGGAGGCAAGTGGCGAGCCGCACATAGGGAGAGGGTCCTCACCAGCTGGGACAACCGCCCATGAAGGCCTCACCCACGCGCTGCAGGTTAACACCCAGAACTGTTTGGTGAGAAGCAGCAGCCTGTGAACGTGGAGCGATCCCTTCTGGAACAACCACCGCTCAGCAGACAATCCCCCCATCGGGTGCACAGTTACCTAGGACATTCACTTACAATCGGAGGCCATGCAGAAATCAAACAAGACGGCACATTTGGAAACAGATGCCCTTCCGGGCCTTGGCTGTGACTGACAGAAGGAGAAAAGGAGCTGTGCCAGCCCGAGGTACAACAACGGATGGACCTGAGAAACTGGGATGACACACAATCTCCACAATCCCTGGGACACAGTGCCAAGCCAGCGAAGCCCCAGCCCTGCCCTGCCAGCCAACGGAGACCATGCTTACCTTTCAGGGAGGCAACGTGTGACAGAGCCTGGGCATACGTGGCCGTATTCAGGAGGGTCCCCGGCAAGCAAGAGGGGAAGAAGGGTCCCGTGGGACCCACTGTTCTCCCCAGGCTGCTAGAGAAAGAAAAGCACACTGAGTTCCCAACCCCGTGTCCCCGGCAAGCCTCCAGACCCCAGGGTCCAGCCAGCCTCACCTCTGTTGGGCTTCCAGGACCTCTTTTTTGCTCCGGGCCTGGTCCCCGGGGGGCGGGGAGTTGATGTTTCTCACAGGCGGGGGTGTCACCTCTGCCATGGGCTCCTTGGCTCCTGGTTCTTGGTCGGAAGCCCCTCTCTCTGTTTTCCTCCACTTGGCCCTTCGGTTCTGGAACCAAACCTGAGTCCCCAGTGGTAATGCATACCCAGTGGAGGCAGAAAGTAAGACAAGGGGAGGGAACGAGACCCACACTCAAATGCCTGGTTCCCGTACCCAGTGCTCACGGCTCACCTTGCAGCAGGGGAGGGGGCACAGCCTCCTCTCGCCAAAAGATCTCCCAAAGCAGTGCCCTCTGAACTGCACCTTCAGACCCAGAGAGGGGTCAGGAGATCAGTGTAGGAGGCACTACAGGCATTTATTAATGACTGTTAAACCATAGGAAGTATCCAAATGCATTGCCCACAGTAAGGGTAAAAGTGTTGTCTTGTGGAAATGCTAAATGTATTCAAGTGCATTTATTTGATGTGAAATGTACTTCCTATGGTTGGGGGGAGGGAGATGAGGGGATCATCCTCAAAGTAGCTTGTAAAACACTGCCCTGGGGCTTCCTCATCAAAAATACTCATTTAGTCTTCCAGCAGGCTTGTCTGAGCACCTGAGTGTGTCTGGCCTCATACCTGGGATTTAACCCTGAAATCATCATGACATTTCATGACCGGCAGCCCAGCACACCCATGAGAAACACTGATTCTGGAGTCAGCCCTGGTTTAGTGTGACTCTGGTTTAGAATCCACCCCGACCCTATTATTGAGATGAGAAAATTAAGCACAGATGGCCCAAGGTCATTCAGGTGGTAAGGGGCAGACACATAACTTGAATACCAGTGGTTTGGCTAGAGACCATGATCCAAACTCCTTGGGGGTAATAATGGTGACCGCCTCCAAGCACTGTTAGCAGAGCTGCACGAGAAACATGGAGTGCTATGCCTGACACACAGCCATCAATCAGTCACTCGGTAAACATTAGCTAGCGTTATCCCTGCCAGCCTCAGGTTAGGAGGAGGCTTATGATTCACCTGCTCTAAGTGCCTTCTTAGAGACTGGTGGGGAAATCTTCAGGCCTTGCCACTCAGGACAGCATCTGCAAAAGGCCAGCCTCGTGGCAGCCAGGCAGATGAGGCCCAAGGTGTTCCCAGAGGTCAGTGAAATTCTGCTGCTCTTTACCCAGCAAAACCTCTTCCCTCTTCTCCTGGGAGATAATTCCTGGCTTTAAAAAAAGTCTTGGCTAGACCTCCCTCCTCCTCCCCCGGGGGACTCCTCTCCTCCTCTGCCTCACACTGGCCTGGGAGAGAGCCTGGGTCCCGGGGCTAAGCCCTCTGCCAGCCCACCCCACTTCTGAATTTTCATTCTCCTCTAACTGGGTTTCTTTCGTTTTTAATCGAGTTGGCTTTTAATTGCACATATCAGCAACCATTGAATAATGATTTTATCTATATTCTAAATTTAGGGCAGTTAAATGCAAAGCAAAATGCAGACACTTTCTTGTGTCTTAATTGAATGAAGGTCACAGCTATAACAACATTTAATTGAGCTATTTTTCATTATCATATTTTAATGACTTTGCACTGACAGTTCGCCTGCTTCTGAGGAAAGAGCATGATGGAGTCGTTTATTTCCCTATTTAGTTATTGTTTGACAACATCAGCTTCGATTAAGACCCTGCTTTATAGAACATTAATCATATTTGAATGAGCAAGGGGTATAAATGTAAACACATCTCCCTTCCCGCCACCGAAGCCCCGTGTCCCTGCACGGAGGCTCACGAAACAAATACTTCACAGCCATTGTCTGTTTGCATAATAGCCAACAACAGCCTGCACGACAAATCCCCGCTTTAATTGTTACCACCCCTATCTCACCCTTGCACCTTTCAGGGAGAAGTTATGATCTTCCACTTCTGAATGCTCAATAATTGTGTCATTTATCTCAATTTGCAGTTCGGTCTTTAGGCAGCTATTGGCAAGCTGGCATTAAAAAAAGAAGGGATAGACAACATCCTGGCCAAAGGAGATTTTCATTTCCAAATAATAATCAGTTTAATTTGCCCGCATATGACCAATGATTCATGTTCAGATTTAATAATCAGGATCACATAATCTGATTATAGGGGAAATAATTTGTTTACAACCCCCAATTTACTGCTCAGAATTCCATTATCTCTCTTCAGCCATTGGTTTTTAAGAGATACTAACATGACCCAGGGGAACCGAAAGCAAACTATTATATTTCCTACAATTAGATCTTTGCATAGTCTTAACCCCAAGCCCCTACATAAAAAAGAACAGAAACAGCATGGAGGAAACCCCATAAATAAAATGAATATATAATTGTGCTCAAAGAATAGCTCTCCCGGAGAGGCGGCGCTGCGAATCTGTTCCTCCCGCGCTCAGGCACATCTGCTGGGCTCGACGGGTTTGCGCACTTAAACATAATCACCGCGTGGCTTCTAAAAAGAAAGCCTGGTTAGAGACGGCCACTGCGGGCCATGCTCGGCTCTGAGGCGGCCCTTTCGCTGCCGCCGTTTAAAGATTTTTAAATTGCACACGTTCTTCGGATCCACTTCACTGAAAGAGTCCGCGTCCAGGGGAAAAGTTGGACATGATGCAATTTCTGGAAAGCAGATCCTACCCTGTTCCCATCTGAAAACACAGTTCTCTGCAATTGACCGGCCTTACCCCAGAGCGGTCAGAGCTGCTTTGAGAATAGCATCTCAGCTCTTTTATTTTTTTTTTTCCAAAGCAAGGAAATGGATGTGCATTGATGTAATTTAGTACCTTAGAGACGCGGACAAATTAGTGTAGAACATTATCACTAGTTAATTATGAATGACCGATTAATCAACCTAATCTAATATTCCACATTATGTTGATGTTATTAAAGTGCATCATGAAAATGACAGATAGTCTTCATTTGCTTTCTTTGGCCAAATGTGCACTCTGCAGTCATGATGTCAAAAAAAAAGTTTGCCAGTTTTAATATTAGAGAGTTAAATAATTAAAAAGAAGGTTTACCTGCACTCTGGCTTCTGTGAGGTTGATTTTCATGGCCAGCTCTTCCCTGGTGAAGACATCAGGGTAGTGCGTTTGGGCAAACACTGCCTCAAGAGCTTCCAGCTAGTAAAAGAAAAAAATACTTACTGGGGAGAGGCTGTGGCTAGGTGAGAGGAAGCAGATTCATATTTCAAATCTGCTAGGATAGGCGAGGAAGTAGTTTCACGGGTCAAATAGGGGAGGAAGAGGGAGAAGAGAGCTCTTCACAAAGATGCCATGGAATTAAAATTTTAACCACGGGTGACTTAGGAGCTGAGACTTACTAACAACATCGGTGCTCCCCCAAGAAATAAGAATAAGAAGAGAAGCACAAATATGTATAGGCTTTTACGTTGATGTATCTTCGTAAGAATCAAAGTCTAAGGGTGGCCTTATGAATCAGAGCAATCCACAGAGCTTTCCCCTTAAGACAGGAGAACAGAAACAACTAGCAGATGTCCTCGCTGTTGTCAGCCCCACAGAAACAAGCTAGAGGTATTTGGATCGCCTTCCTGACAGCGCCAGTTTGCTCCAGGGGTGGCACAGGTCTAAGGGGACGGGCCCAGGTCCAGGAAACACACTATGAGCATCCTGGTTCTAGTCCTTCCGCTGATGGACAGCAATACCTTCTATAAATCAGTCAACTTCTTGGTCCCCAGTCTTTCCATCTAGCTAGTGGGAAGAAGAATGTCCTGCCTGTATTTCTCAAAGGGTTATTTCAAAGTTCAAATGATATTGCTGATGCGGAAATGTTCCCCAAAACACCAACCGAAGGCAAATGGGAACGATCATTATTACCGATTCATTTACTGTCTGGGATCATAAGGTCCAAATCCCCTGCCCTCTTCCCAAACTGATTTCTTGACACATAAAGTGTTCAAGAAAGATCCAGTTACCATAGTTGGCTTTATTTTAAAAGACAAAGAAGAGCTGCTCAACCTCTGATTTTGTTTTTGATTTTTTTGGGGTTTTTTGGAGGCAGGAAGTAGCTGACTCTCAGAAAGGGAACGCCATCATTACCTGCTGAAGAGTAAATGTCGTCCGGTTCCGGCGCTGTTTTCTGCGCAGAAACCCATCATCGAAATCTCCTGGAGAGTGGTTGCCAAAGGGTGCAGTGCCTACTGGGAGCAAACTGAATCAGCCTGAGCAGAGGGCCTCCCTGTCCTCACACTGACCCGGACACACCTGCTCTCTTCGGAGGCACCTACAGGCAGAGTCCTGTCTGTCCCAGAGTGTCTTTCTCTGCTGCTCTCATGAAGGCCCCTTCTTTTCCACTCTCTCTTGCTTTCTCTCTCCCAATAAATAACCCTTGACTTTCGGCCTACCTATGCCTATTTCATAGGGTGGATGGCAACAGGACACCCCCAGGATGGCCAAATCGGCTTCTTGTCAAATTCCGGACTTTGTGCCAGGATGACTCACTGGCTTGAGGCAGAGCCTTTGCCTGCCCTCTGGTTTCCAGCTGCACCTCTGTCCAATGTGTTTTGATCTCATCTCCTATCTCTGAGTCTTTCATAGAAGCCTCAATGTCTCCCTGTTGCTTACCTGTTAGTTTATTTTCCCTTGTTTCTATAAACAACAAAGCTTAACAGCTGGGGGCGGGGGAGGAAAGAAAATACCAAGAGCTTTCACTGCACGTTTCTCCTAGAACTTCAGGACACGAGGAGGTAAGAAGTTTATAAATGAATATTAATTACCGTTGGTCACAGCTCATCAGCACCATAGTGGATCTGTTATATCGATGTCAATTAACAAGAGGTCTGCACCAATAGCTACTGTCCTGAATTCCAAGCAGACTTAGACAGGGCCACTCTCAAAGGGCACCCCACCCTCTGGCCAGGCTCATAAAGGACCCGTTGCTCTCCACTTCCCTGAAAAGAAAGGCGTCCTTTCCACTGTCCTCCCCAGCAACCTCCAAGGCTCTTATACAGCCAGAACAGAGTTTGGCCCCAAACGTGCATTCAAATTATGTTCCAAATATGCACCATGTACTCGACAGTCTACAGTGGCTTCTTAGAAAAACAAACGAGCAAGTTCCCATTAGCCAGTGAATGCTGTACCTGCCATGGGCTCTGGTCTCAGAATCACTGCGTGTTTGGCACTAGCAACTGGCAAGCCACACAGGCAACCCCCCTCAGAAAGACTGGCATCCCAAGGAAGCAAGGTTCTCTGGGCTTTTTAAAATTCTATCTACTAACAGGGGTCCCTCCTACTTACTATTCTGCTCTACAGAGCCACATCCTTTGCCATAATACCCCACGCCTCCCTGAAGCCTTTGATTCCATCTTCTTGTCCAAACTGCACTCTTCCTAAAAACCCTAGTTACAAATATTTCTCTCCAGCTCACTGGAAACTTCGAAAGGACAGCCTCAAAGCAGTCTTATTTTCAGTATTTTGCAGGAAACCAAACCATCTCCTTTTGAAACAAAGCACTTGATTGGCGAGGACAGAATGTAGACTCTGAGATGCTCTAATCGTTCTCTGCCTCAGCCTTCCAACTTACACCTGCTGGTCCTAAATTGTTTCATAATGTGTACACATAATATCTGTAAGTGAAACATCATATGTCAAATTGGACCCTAAAAGAGACTCATGGTCCATCAAATTAATAAGAACAAATAGAAAAGAGGAAAACATTTGAAGAGGCTTTTTACTTAAAAATAAGTAGATGTGTTGATAATACTATGAAAATGTTAAACTTTGCCGGTAATTAAACAAAACAGAACAATGAACCACTATTTTCACCATTTTGACAAAAAACATAAGACGCATAATGTTACCCAGTACAGTTAACAGTATAATAAAATGTGGGTGTTCATTAGCCATTTGTAGGAGCGTTAATTGGTGCAGCCTTATTAGAGGGTAATTTGACAATAGTCATCAAAAATGTAAGGGCACATACACATATTTAATCTATGAATAAGTCAAAGTGTCACAAAATTGAAAAAGAAGAACATTCCTGCAACATGGCAAGAGGGGAAAAAGAAAACTACTGGAAACATCTGAAGTTCCCATCAGTATAACATATAATGGAATATTACACAGCTGTTTAAAAGAAATCAGTAGATCTGTATATATTGGATGGAATAATCCCCAAAATATAGGTTATAAAGTAAAAAAATTAAAAAAAGCAAAGTCCCAAATGATAGGGCAAAATGACCTCAGCACAAATAAAGCATAACATATGGGGGAGGGGGGCGGAGTGTGTTTTTCATGAAGGAATCAAAAGAAACCAACAATAGGGAGTATCTTTAGAAAAAGTGGTGGAGAAGAAGGGTTTCACTTTTGAATGCACAGGTCTCTGTTCTATTTGAATTTCCTTAGCAGGTATATGTAGTACTTTTTAATTCAATATCAGCAAAATTATCTGAGAAGTGAAATTATGAGTCATGCCTTGCTTTCTCCTTTATGCCTCCCTAGATTAATAAAAACTGAAAATTAAAAAGCCGAGAGGCTGAGTGAGATGTCATATTCCAAAGGTCTGTTCTCAGCCTTTCTATCTGCCGTGGATCACCTCCTCCCCAGCAACATTAAACTAACATAAAACACCACTTTCTGCAAAACTGGCTCAGAAACACATCTGCAGAGGGACAAGAAGGCTCTTAAAGATACACCTCCTTTTCTTCTGGTCATACAATCAGCACTGAGGTGTGACGTGCCTCCAGTGAGGTGGGAAGGAAAGGTGGGCAGCAAACAGCTCAGTGCATGGGGCCCATGACAGACCGGGTCAGCACCCTCCCTAAGTGACTTCTGCAACCCACCCTGAGGACAGGGCTTCCCCTTACATTATCCAAGCAGCCCACCACCTGCTAAATACCCAAATCGTGGCCTTCCCCTCTTTAACCAGAAGAGTGGGATGCTTTATATCAATCATTCCAGATCCCAGGTTCAGAAGTTCGGAGAAGGTGTGTGCTCCACACATGCCCAGGGTCTCTCTCCAGACCTGGGGTACAATGTCAGAGAGTGCAAAGGAGTGCACCTTTTAACCTCTTCATAAAACGGCTCAGCATGGGTCCTTGGAGATTAAAGGATGTGAAATGTAAGCAAGTGTCTGGTCTTCCCTTCTTAGGAATGCTGACCCAGCTAGCAGGGCTTAAACACTGATCCTTAGCTTCCTTTAGAAAATTCTACTGAATTCTTAAAAGCTTCCTTGAGTAAGACAAAACAAACTTTCTGAAATCCCTGTGCATGTTGGCCAGCTGAGGCTCAGCTACTGCTCTAGGTGACTGGAGAAAAGGTGGACTAGTGTCTTCTGATGGCTCTGGTCCCTCAGTACCTCACCACCTTTGCCCTCCCCCATGCCCCCCTCAGTTTCCTGGACTCCCAAATTCTCCCACCCCACAAATAAATCAGAGGAGTAGGTTATCGAAGCCAGGCCCTGGTATTGTTCTCAGTTAGAAAAGTTCTAATATTACATGGCTGGGACTCCTGATCTGAGGAAGATGCTGTTAAAAGACCAGAATGCGTGGCTTTGCATTTGTCTGATGTCCACTCCTGGGGGTCCCCCAGGCCCTGTGCGGGGATACCAGAGAGCCAAGCTGCCCCCTTCTCACAAATCCACTTCCACCTAACAATCTGATGCAGAGACCACACAAGGGATCCTGAGGCAAAATTTCTTCTAAGGCCTGGAGACTCTTAAAGTCTCAAACCCTGGCCATGGGGCTCCCCCAGGGAGTGGGGAGTGGTAGGCATTTGGGGTCAGGAAATCCAGTAAGTCACAGGGGAGGAGCCATGCCAGGGCACTTGAGGGGTGTGGGAGTGGATGGTCAGGGTCACCTATACCCAGATAGCCACGGTGGCCCAGGACAGACGTTACAGCTTCCCTGAGCAGCACTACCCTGCTCTCCAAGTGAAAGCAGACTACCATTGGCGGGTAATGGCTCACCGTCCCTGTCACACGATACCGGCCAACTCCCTAGTCCACCTTGGCTTTTCTGGTTGTTTGCAAAACACCGTGAAAGATTGATGCGGCCCCCAGGGCGGGGGAGACCCGATTAGAGGCGTGACACCAGCATCTGTGCTGGGAGGACCCGGCGGGTCCCTGCTGTGCGAATAGCCCCGGGCCGACTGGCCCAGGCGGGGAGGGAGGTGGGAGGCAGGTGGCGACAGGGCGGAAGGCTGGAGTGGGATGTAGGGAAGAAGCCAGGGGCACCCGTATCCGCCGCCCGGCGGCTGCGACCCTCCCGTAGCGGGAACCCAACCACCCACCAGTCACACCGCCGCTCTGGCCCTTCCTGACTAGCACCGGCCGTTCGGAGCAGCCCCAGGCGCGGCGCTTACTCACCCTCTAGCTGTGGCGGACAGTGGAAATAAAACATCGCCGACGGCCCGATCAGCTGGACGGCGGGGCCGGGGGAGAGTGATCGCTGGACAGACAAGGGGCGCGTAGCTCCGGCCTGGCTGCAAAGCAAACAGCGATAGAATCTAATTCTCCCTCTGCCCGCGCCCCGGACTGGCCCTAGTGCGCACTGGGCGCCCTCCTCCTGGAAACCACTCCCCCCAACACCCTAAATCCACTGTGGGGACTGGAGGGGACATGGCAGCCCCGTCTCAAGCCTGGCCCCCTTGGGACAGCCCTTCGGTTGGGGTCCACCTCCCGGACAGCCGTACACACACACACACACACACACACACACACACCCCAGCCCCCGGCCCCAACACCAAACCCGGACAATCTGGCTCCCGGCTTTCAGGGGTCCCCCCCCATACACACACACACTCAAGCCTTGCACCAGACCACCGCAGCCGGGTCCAGCGAACGCGCCAGGGCATCTGCGCGAGCTGCAGCCCGGGCCAGGAAGGCAGCCCAGCTCCAAGGCCGGGCGCCCGGGGCCGGGTGAGTGGATCCGGAGCCGCGCGTACCTCGGCGGGCTGCGGGAGAGGAAGGCCAGAGCGTGACTGCCTCCCGTCCGCACTCCGGGCTCGGCTGGAAGCGGGCGGGGCTCGGCGCGGCTGGCGCCCGCAGGACCAGAAAAGTGACTCGGGAAGTGGCCAGATGTCTTGCTGTCTGTCTACAGCGCGCGCCGCGGCTCAGCACTCGCCTTTATAATCTCACGCATAATTGGCCTTAATCTGATTATTTCCAGCGCTGTCTACAGCGAGTAACTTGGATAGGTCTATTGGGCCTTACAAATGGCCCACGTGGTGTAAAAAAAATCCATCATTTCTCAGCAAACATCAGAAATGTTTTTCTCCTTCTAAAAGAGGATAGAAACAACGAGCACTACCACCACCCCCAAAAAGGCATTATTTCCTGAACACTCCACCCACACCCACCCCAAACCTTTCTCCGCGAACGCTTGGATTTGGGCTCACCCTTGTCAGAGGCCTGGCGACTCCCGGGCTGCGAATTGACAAAGCGCTGCTAATTGTAGCCGCCGGATGGGTTTTTGGGGGGACTCTTTGCACACGGCTTCCCTTTCCAAGCAACCATACAAAAGGAAAGTTTGATTTTGTTCTCAGCAAGGGGTCCCTGAATTTATGTTCGCTTCTCGATGCAAATGATATGCGGTGGGACCCCTTCGCAATTACTTTTAAAATGCATCCGAGGCAGACACTCAGCGGAGAGAGACCGCCCTTCCCTCTGCCTGGGTGAAAATTAAACTCTAAAGTACCGGGCTGAAATTTTCAAGTCAGGGGCGCGGGATTGGATCAAATCACATAAACTGCAAAAAAAGCAAGTCTAATGGCGCATAATTGGTTCTGTAATAGCATTACACCAGGATAATAGCCCGTTACGGCCCCCTGCACTATTAAGTGCTTCCCTGGCGGAAAGCCTTTATGATATTAAAGGGGGAATATAATGATATTTTGGTTATTAAATGCGTGTAATTAATTTATGCACCACTGAAAATAAAGTTGGTATTATGACCCACTCAAGATGCATCAGAAGATGCAAGTCAGACAACTGTTGATAAGTTCTGGTGTCTGTGTTCCGTCTAGACTGCTGATTTTATTTTGGGACGATGGCTTCTTGGACAGACTGCATAAATTGAATATTTTATAAACATTCTAATGCTGCGTTCGGGAGCCCTGGCGAGGCGGTGGGTCGGGTCCCTGCACTGCCTGGGATCCAGCCTTGATCTTAAAGACACAGCATGTTGGAAACAAAAGGCCTGGCGGCCCACACGTGGACACCCGCCGTGGACGAGGCGCGTCAAGCTGAAGGGCAGAGTGTGGGGGCCCTGGGACGCCGGTGGACACCCTTCGGAACACCGCTGGGAGGAAGAACGCGGCACCGCTCCAGCGGAGGCAGTTTAGGGCCCAGGGCACTTGAGCGGTCCCTCTTGGGCTCGGCCCTCCCTGGCGCGAGGAGTCGGCCGCGCCACAAGGAAGAAACCGCTGGAAACTACGGCTCTGTTCAGAGCGGAGAGAGCCCGTGGCGCCAGCTCCGCCAGGGCCACTGACTCCGAGTCAGGCGGCCGGCTTCGGGGAACAGCCCGGAGGACTGGGAGGCGGGTGCTGTAGCCAGAGGGGCTGGCCGGGCAGCAGAGAGAGCCGTTGCCACTTCATCCAGAGTGGGCTGGAGCCCCTAGGAGCGGACCCTCTGTCAACCCAGGCCAAGAAGCTTGGCGCGCTACCTCTGTCCCTTCCTGTGTCGCTCAGAAGACCCGGGCTCTCTGGAGATCTTTCAAAGAGCCTGAGGCTACTCTTGCATGCCCGGATCTGCCGAAAGCCCCAGCGGGTTCCCATCTGCCCTAGGCGCCAGCTCCCCGTCTGCGCGCCCTGTGAGCTCTAAGAGCTTGGTGCCTATGAAGCGAATTGAGGAAGGTATCCGGGAAAGTTTGGCCGAGATGCTCCAGGCTCACCTGGGTATCTGTCCGGGAACCCGCGGCACCAGGCGCCAGGAGACGCATTGGCCCCAAAAGCCAACGAAGTCCAAGCCCGAGTCTCAGCTCTCCATCCCTCCCATCCGCCGAAGCAGATTCTTATCGAGGCCCAGAGAGGTCCGTGGAAGCAGACAGGCTCATCCTGGGTCTGCGGGCAGCGCGCTCCCCACACCTCCTGGCCAGTCAGGACGCTGGACAGCGGCCCCGGACTTCCAGGGGCTGCGGGCGGGAAAAGAGGCCAGTCCCGCGCGCCCCTCTGTGCGGCGCGGCAGCGGGATGCGCTGGATACCGGATCCCAGGCTTTGGGGGACTGACCCCAATCTCCCGGTTCAAACCTGCGGAAGTTACTTGGGACGCGCGCTCAGCGCTCAGAGAAGGGACCGAACTCTCGACTCCGCACCCCATGCGCCGCTCCTGCCGCGCGGCTCCAGCCGGGAAGCCGTCCGCGGCGCATCGCTGCCTGACCCTGGCCTTCCCAGCGCCCCCGACGCGAGCCTGGCCGTCTCCCCGGAGTGACAAGTAACCAGGCTCCCGGAACACACCCACCTCGCGCAGGGCTCGTAGCCAGCTCACGACCCTCGGCCTCTCCTCGCCTCGCCTCGCCTCAGCCAACGTCCCTCTCCCTGAGCCGCGAGGCCGGCTCCTTTCTGTTGGCAAAACAGCGAATAAACAAACAGCCAAGCAACGTAGAAACGAAAGCCTACAACAAACTTTGATGACGCGAGTCCCCTTTTTCTTCCGATTTTTTCTGACCCTCGGCCTTCGGAAGTGACTAATATGCATTCGCTACCGTCCCCCTCCCCCACCAAAAAGGGCGTTCGAAACGAAAAGGTTATTTTTTCCTTAATTCTTGTGCGGTAAAATGTATTTTTCAATTAACCAAATTCACCGATCTGTCCCGCTTGGACACTCTGAAAATTTACAACCTAAAAGTGTACTTTCTTTATCTAAAGACCAAGGTGACTGCTTTTAATTTTCTCTAACCTCTTTACACTTGATGTTCACCAGACTCATAATGTTAATTGGCTTCATATACGGATCATCAGTTTAATGAAGAAATAAATCCTGTGTTGCTTTATGTTTTAACAGTGATTGCTTTAATGAGGAATGTGACGTGTTCCAAAATCAAAGCTGCAGGAGACATTAGACGGGGCAGGAGACATTAGACGGGGCTTCTATTAGGACGGAAATGCTTATTTAAAGTTAAAACCACGGGTCATATTTCAACAGATTCTTACACGGCAGGCCCTCCCCACCCCCACCTGGGCTGCTTCCAGCCTGTGGAAGGAGACAGTTCTGTGGCTGGTCCTCAATGCTCCTTTCTTCTCCGTATTTAATTCACAGCAGCCGCAGAGTCTCCATTCCCTCTAAGAATCCTCTTCTGGTTACTAAACAGTCCGTGCTACTTTACCTCCTGTCCCGCAGAGCAGAGAGAAGCCAGAATAGGGTAGATTGTTCAAGTTTCAAGGTTGTTCACTTTCTAAAAAATAAAACAAAGTGGGAAGAAAGTATCACACACACCTTTAGATTTGTGTGCAGAGGGTGGCTCCCCGCCCCTGGCAGCAAGCCCCTCTCTACCACTGAAAATTCAAGCCTCCACTCCTACAGACAGACAGACAGACAGCTCCTGTTTAGGTCGAGTAGGCTGGCCCCTGAAAATGTCTGCAGGGGATGTGCTGGGCTCCCGCCTGGGTGATGGGAGCTTTACATCTCACATCAATTAATAGCAGAGTAAATCTGCTTTCTCTAATGGGTGTTTGATTTTTCTAATTTTAAGCTTGTTCTATGAAGGGAAAACTGTCATCTCAAAAACACTGAGAGCAGCAATAAAAGGCTGGAAATTAGAGCATCTATATCTGAAAACCCTAACCTGTCTTTCAGTTGAATTATGAGTTATTTTAAATTGATTCCTAAAAAGAACCCCAAATCCTTAGAAAATGTAGGGTTTTGGGACTCCAGGTTGATGTCTCAAACATCACACATGGTATTCATTTCTTACCCTTTGCTCTGTTTTGGGGAGAAACATTTCAAGATACCAGGGTCAACATCTTTTGAGACCAAATACATGAGCATATGTTGGATTTGACATCTTAGTTGTGCTCAGAAGAGATTGTCCCAACTTTCCTTTTAAAACTTTGTTTAGCAGAAACAATTTCAGTAAATACGATTTGAAACCATGACAATATTTCAGGGGTGCCTGGGTGGCTTAGGCAGTTAGGCGTCCACTTCAACTCAGGTTCATGAGTTCGAGCCCCGCCTCGGGCTCTGTGCTGACAGCTCAGAGCCTGGATCCTGCTTCGGAGTCAGAGTCTCCCTCTCTTTGCCCCTCCTATGCTCATGCTCTGCCTGTCTGTCTGTCTGTCTCTCTCTCTCTCTCTCAAAAATTATAAACATTAAAACAAAAATAATTTCTTAAATCATAACAATATTTCAGTTTTCAGGGAGAAAAATAAAACACACCAAATTCCTAATTATGTGTTTGAAAAGGG